TATAAATAGATGGTTACTTCTTTATTCCTTTCTCCTCCTGCTGCTTGGAATGTGGGAATTTTAGCTAGAATTCTAACAAGGATTCTAGATTCAGAAATAAATGCCTAGCCAGGGATTTAGCTCAGTGGTGCTGCCTGAGTTCGAGCCCCTGTACAAAAAAAAAAAAAAAGAAGAAGAAGAAAGAAAGAAATGCTTATAACCTAGGGATAAGAGAGTAGGAAACTGCTGAGTCCCTCATAAGACTAGCTACCATATCAACCTTCAACTATCTGCTTCTGGGCTTCTTTCACATGAGTAACAACCTAATATAACATGCTGAAGCTATTATTGTTCAAGTCTCTGTTATAGTCAGAACTAATCCTAACTGATAAGGAGGCTTTGAGCATATTCTAAGAAAAAGATAGAGGACTGCATGAGATATTCTAAAGGAAGCATTATCAAAATTCATGACAAACTTACCCCCAAAAGAAATATATGAACAGTCATATTACACATAGAAAAGATTTTAAAAGATAATTCCTTCAGTGTCCCTATTGAAGAGTTACAATCACGTCTGGTGTCCACAATTTTTAAAGAATGTGACAAAAATTAGACATCAAGAGCTGGGCATGGTAGCACATACTTGTAATCCCAGCACTCAGGAGGCTAAGGCAGGAGGATCACCTCAAGGTTCTAGGTCAGGTTGGGCTACATAGTAAGTTCAAGGCCAGCATGAACTACATACATAGTGAATTCAAGACCAGTCTGAGCTACATAGTGACACCCTGTCTCAAACTGTTCCCCCCCTCAAAAAAAGAAATAAGTAATGTGAGGACAATGTACAAACTACTTTCAAACAAAGAATTAAATTGAAAGCATTAAACTCAGCTAATCCTGGCACTCTGGGAAACTGAGGCAGGAAAGTCACAAGTCTGACCTCAGCCTGAGCAACCTATCAACTTAGTAAGACCCAGTATCAAAACTGAAAAAATGGGGCTGGGGATTTAGCTCAGTGGTTCCACAGCCTGCCTCAAAAGCGCAATGACCCGAGTTCGATCCCCAGTGCCAAAAAAAAATCTGAAAAAATGAAGAAAAAAGACCTGGGAAAGTAGAGCTACAGCTCAGTGTGAAGGGACTGAGTTCACTGCCCAGTGCTGCCACCTGCCTTGCAAGCGCAAGGTTCCAAGTTCGATCCCCAATACCAAAAAAAAAAAAAAAGCATCACAATCTGCTAAAACTTTTTCTAGGGAAAATAAGTTTAAAGGCAAGAACAGATATTCAGTAATTCCCATCACACTTCCTGATAAGGGATGCACTAAACACAACACAGCCATGCCCTTCACACCAGGGACAGTCAAGAGTTCCACAGCTAAGCAGGAAAGTGGAACTGCACCAGGAAGCAGGAAAGTAAAGGACATCTGGGACTCCCTTCCATCTCTAAGACTAATTTCTGTTTCAGGAAGGAGAGAGGAGCAGCGGTCATCCTGTCACTCTGCTTGTCAGGCCTATAGCACTCAACCATGTCCAGCTGAGTCACAAAAGAATAGAGAAAGCTCTTCAAGTCCAAATCTCACAGCAGTTTATTCTGCCTGAAAAATGTTCTCTCAATCTAAGAATATACTCTTCCTACTGAATTAGGGATGCCTCTATTTATATCCTCATGGGGCAAAGAGTCCCCATCCATTCCCCATCTACACTGTAACTGTCATTGCCTCCGAGTGTCAGTTTGGCATTACATACATATTATATGTATAAAGCATTTTTAAAACATGAAGATGAAAAAAGAGGCCAAAATGAAATACAGAAAAACTTTACAAAGTGTTATATCACTTTTATATTTAATCTCTTTAAAAGGTCTCATTTTACAAAAACCGACACTGTATCACAGCTATTTCCCACAGTTACTGAAAAGAAAAATGTAACAGTCCTCTCTAACCATTATCTCCAATCTCAAGTAAAAGCACTCTCAATGTATTTATGGCAGAAAAAGGAATCACCTGCTTTCTTAAGCCTCAGCAAAATATTCTAAAACATAATGGGTTGGCAGAATGATGGCTTCGAAGATGTCCACATCTTTAATCCTGGGAACCTGTGATCATGTTACTTGCAAAGCGACTTTGTGAGAGTGATTAAATTATCCTGGATTATTCAAGTAGGTCTGATCCAATCTCACAGGTCCTTAACAGCAGATCTCTTTCCCCAGCTGTGGTCAGAGAAGTGAGAATAGAAGAAAAATCAGAGACAAGGATCACTGTAGCTTTGAAGATGGGGAAAGGAGGCCATAAACCAAGGAAAGTGGCAGCCTCTAGAAAATGAAAGAAGCAAGGAAATTAATTCTCCCCAAGAATCCTTCAGAAAGGAACACAGCCTTGCTGATGTACTGATTTTAACATTTTGGACTTTCACAGGTGTATAAAGTAATCTGTGTTGTTTTAAACCACTAAATCTGTATTAATGTGTTATGACAGTCATGGAAAATTAGTATACACACACACACACACACACACACACAAAGGACTTCTAACAGTATGTGAAATTATCTAGAGGAGAAAACCACAATACAATTGCCCAAATATTTAGAGCACTATAAGAATTATTTGTGCATTTTGCAGTATATTTTTCTCCTTCCATTGCAAAACTCCATTCATTAAAAAGCCAGTTAATGTTGACAATGTTTCAAATTTGTCTTCAGGGAATGTAGCATATTAATACAAAAAATGAATAGGATATTAGGATCTACTGAAAAAATGAAGAAACACATTATATTTTTCAAAGCTAAACATGTATCAAATGGGTATCATATTTAAAAAATAAATCCTAGCCAGATGTGGTGGCACATGCCTGCAGTCCCAGCACTCAGGAGTCTGAGGCAGGAGGATTGCTACAAGTTTGAGGCCAGCCTGGGCTACACAGTGAGTTCAAGGCCAGCCTGAGCTACATATCAAGACCTTGTCTCAAAAAAAAAATCCTTCTATATATTGATATTAAGATCCTACTTTTAATTGTATAGGTGTGAAAATGGTATTATGGGCATATTAAAAGAGAGTGATCAATCTCCTACAAATTTATACTAAAATATTTACAGATAAAATAGTATGCATATGATTTGCTTCAAAATAACTGGGAGTCAGGCATGGTGACACATGGCTGTAATCCCAGAAGTATGAAAAGCTGAGGCAGGAGCACAAACTCAATTTAGAGACACCCTGCTTCAAAAATAAAAAATGAAAAAAAGGCAGGGGATGTAGCTCAGTGTAAAAGCCCTGGGTTCAATTCCCAGTATGAAAAAAGGGGGAGGGAGAATGTAGTTTTAGGAATGGATAGGGATATAGATAAAACTGAACTCCCATGACTTAATCATTGTTGGACCTGGGTAATATGTACATGGGAGTACATTATATAATTTCACTGTGGCTTTTTTTTTTTTTTTAACTGCTGGAGATTGAACTCAGGGCCTCAGACATGCTAGACAGGTATTTTATCATTTAGCTATATTCGCAGTTCCTGTTTGAACTTTTCTATATTTAAAAGGCACAAAAATTTTAAAATAACTTGACCTACAATAACAATATACATGTCATTACAGCATAAACTTAATAACTAATTTCCTTTGTATTAACATTACATTACCTCAGTTATCTGGCTTAATCCACTTGGAACTGATAATTTCATCAATTATTTTCTTTTTTTTTTTCAGTCTGTAGAAGATTAAAAACTTTAATCCACTTTTGGGACACAGCCCTTTGTTCTGGTAGTAGATACTCTTTGACCCAAGGGAAGACAGTACCAGATTATATCTTCTTGGCTAGGACTTATTATTTAAATACTTTTGATGTGCTCCCTAACCACTTGTTTATATACTTTTTATTTAAAAGCTAATAATTCCCTTGAGATGATTCAAAATTATTGAGACATACTGATTTTATGATAAGGTCAAGACAAGGGCTTCTCAGGCATAAATGATTCACTGTCAGAGTGGAGGTTGACAGGATCAGTGGGTCGGCTGTTCCGACAAATTCTGGAGACCCATGGGATCATCTCTGCCAACCTGTGAGGCTTTAACTCTGCCATCTGGAGTTGAGGGTGAAAGACTTTCTCAACAGAAGCAGGCCTTTCAGAGTCTGGGAGTGCAGCTCAATGGTAGAGTACTTGCTTAGCACATGGAAGTTCCTATTTCTACAGATTTTCTTCCCTTCCACCTCCAAAGCCTCTGTTGAGCCCTCAACTCATCAGCCCAAGAACCTGCGTTCCTCTGGGCAGTTTACACTCCTCTCCACCACCTCCACCCTTCCTGTCTTCCAGCCCAGCTCCTTCCACCCACAGGATCCTCTTCCACGCTGCGCTTTCTCTTTCAAGGAGCCCACTCCATTTACCGACAGTCTTTCCCCGACATCTCCTTTGCTGGCCTTATGACAACCATGCCCTCACTTCTCTAACCCTTCTCAGTACTTGATCGGTTCTATCACCCCACTACTGCCACCAGTTCACAAATATCCACCCTTTAGCTCAATCCAACTGCTCAGGCACCCTGACAGTCGCAGGGTGTGCGGGAGGGGGAATGAGGAATGACTGCTAATGGGTACGGGCCACTTGCGGGTGACAAAAACGTTCTGGAATCAGGGATAAGGCTGCGCGACCATGTGAATACACTAAAAGCAACTACATTGTACTTTAATTGTACTTTTAAACGGTGAGTTTTATGGCACCTGAATTATATCTCAATTTAAAAAATGTGTATGTCAAACAAATGCGAACACACGCACTATTGCTCACTCTACCCATCACACGCCCATTTGTCAGACCAACATCCTCCATCTCCGGAAGCATCGACGTGTCCGTCGGTGTCCCCCAACTCCCAGCCGGGACCCGGCCCGAGTTACCCCTCACGCTCGGGTTTTAACACAACCCAGGGCCCGCCCGGGTGAGGCACAGGGGCCGCTCCCGCGGCTCAGCGCAGCCCCACGGTTGGCCCAGTCCCGTCCGGAGAAGGGTCTCCTCCCCGCGCAGACGGAGCTGCCCACCTGTCTCAGCCTGCGGGGGCTCCGCGTCCAGCCCCACGCACTGCAGGCGGGCGGCGGGCAGAGGGCGTTAGGGGAGCGCGGTCGCGTCGCAGACCGGGGTGGCGCAAGCCGGCTAGGCCTCCATGTTTCCACGTCTCTGCGGCTCCGGCTCCGCTCCAGCTCCGGCAGAGTAGGTGAGGAGGCCGAGAGGCGGGGAGAGAAGAAGGAAGCAGCAGAGACCGCGGATAGGGACTGAACTGCCAGGCGCGCGCCAGCGGGCGGACCCGGGGCGCTCGAGGCGCGCAGGCTTCTGGGAAACGGAGTCCTCACGGCGTTGCTGGTTTCCCCACCCACCTAGCGTCTCCCAAGCAACCGCGGAGCCAAGTGGCAAAATCCCGAAGCCTCAAATCTCTGACCTCCCAGTGCTTCCTAGGGCGGCTTACCTTTACCACCTGTACTGGTGCTATAATTTAAGGTCCCTGTTAATTCCAGATGAATAACCCATCCCATTGTCAAACAATTCCTTCTGGGGCTCTGAAGAAATGAGAAATAAATCCGCCTGTAAACCTAGCATTCTGGGAGGTTTAGGCAGGAGGACCGCAAGTGCAACCCCAGCCTGGGCTATTTAGCACGGACTCGAAATTAAAAATAATGATGACGGCTGGGGATTTAGCTCAGTGGTTCCGCCGCCTGCCTCACAAGCACAAGGACCTGAGTTTGATCCCCGGTACCAAAAAAGAAAAAAAAAAAAAAAAGAATGACGACGATGACGATAAAGAGCTGAGAATGTCGTTCAGTGCGAAGGCCCTGGGTTCAATCCCTTCTACCGCCAAAATAGGATCTTGCTAAACTGCCTAGGCTGGCCTCGAATTTGCCTCCTGCCTCAGCCTCCCAGAGCGCTGGAATTGCTGGAATTGCGGGTGTTCACCACCACGCCCAGGTGGATTTTTTTTTCTTTTCTTTTATCAATGCAGTACCCTAGGTTCAATCCTAGGGCCTTTGCACTGAGCTATATCCCCTGCCCTTTTTCTCACTTTCTTTCCTGACTTACTTCTTTTTTCTTTCTTTTTGCTGCTTCCTCATGCTGAACCTTTTTTTATTTTTTATTTCGATACAAGGTTTCACCAAGTCGCTGAATTGCCCAAGCTGGGCTCCAATTTACCCTCCTCTAGCCTCAGACTCGCAGATGGCTGGCTTTACAGGTATGTTGCCACCATGCCTAGCAGGACAATAAATTTTGATGGAGGCAGCTGGAAAGGCTAGACCTGCCTGCGTTATTGTCAGGACAGTTCCCACAGGAAAGAAAATCAATATGAAATTTATGGGGTTTTTGTGAGGTGTTTTTTTTTTTGGTACCGGGGATCGAACTCAGGATCTTGTGCTTGCAAGATAGATAGATAGATAGAGATAGAGATAGATAGAGATAGAGATAGATAGAGATAGAGATAGAGATATGATTGCTGATATTACAGTAATAATCATTCACATTGTGAGGTATTTTCTACTTGCTATGAACTGTTGTTTTATGTCTTCAAATAGACCTGTGAAAAAGTATCACAATTATTTCCATAATATAGTCGATACATGTTGATGTCCTCTAAAAGTCCAATATAAATATTAAATATTTTTTCCAGTATCAATCACCAGTATATTCACTGAGATTGCAGAATTAGGGCAGGAAACCCTTGTAAAATACAGGTTACCTGGGGCCCTAGCTAAAAAGAGGCAAGCACTACTATGCAGCCATTGTAAGGAATGCCATGGATTCATATTTATTTAAAAATGTCTCCATGCCCCATAATGTGATCATTATGCATGGCAAACATGTACTAATAAAAATAAATAAATAAAATGTTCCATGATATATTAAATGGAAAGAGTGTAAATAGCTGGGCATGCTAGCACACACCTGTAATCTCAGCACTTGGGAGGCTGAGGCAGGAAGAGTACCTGAGTTCGAGGCCAGCCTCAGCTACATAGTGAGTTCAAGTCCAGACTGAACTACATAGTGAGATCCTCCCTCAAAAACAAAAAAGTATGAAAACTATTATCTAATTTTTATAAATTAACTATATTTATAATACTTATGTGTGTGTGCCTGGGGGAAAAGAGATTAAAAGGATATTAACAATATACAATTTAAGGTAAAGAGATCATGTGTGATTAAAATTAATGTTCCTATCTGTTTTCTAACTTTTCTACAATGAATAATTTCATGTATAATTTTATTTTAAAGTCATAGCAAAGAGAGAAACAGGCATCAAATTCAGAATCTTAAGTGTTTTGTAATTTTGTCTGGCACACACTCTACTTCCCCCAAATTACCAGAGCAACAGTTATGAGCCTTTCTTCAGAATTGGCATAGTCCTGAAGCAACAGTGATCCTATTAGTGAAGTTTTACATCCCCTTTCTTTTGTAGTTTACCACAGTGAGTTAGTTAGCTTTCTTATGCTGGTACAAAATACCTGAGATAAAGAACTTGGAGAAAGGACTTATTTTTTATCATGGTTTCAGAGGTTTCACTCCATGGTCACCTGGCCCCATTGTTTTGGGCCTGTGATGCCACAGTGTAACATGAAGGACCACACAGCAGAGGAGGGAGTTCACCTCATGGCAGACAGGAAGCAAAGAGAAAGAGGAAGGGGGTAAGCCCCAATATCCCCTTTGAAGACATGCCCCCAATGACCTCACTTTCTTCTACTAGGCCCAACTCCAGAAGGTTCCTCCACCTCCCAATGGCACCATAGGCTGGGGACCATGCCTCTAACATAAGGCCTTTGGGGGACACTTAAGAGCCACACCACAACAGATGACTTGAAATTAAGAGGATCTTGCCATCATTCCTAGGCAAATCGCATAATATTGTTAGAGAAACGTTACAAAACAGAGGGTAAGATGAGGAATGGTTTTAACAATATAGGAAGACTGTGTTGGAATGCTTGGATAACTTGGTGTTTTGTCACCAACTTTTAATGCTGCCTGCAGAAGTATCTTGATAAACCAGGCATGGTGGTGCACGCCTGTAATCTCAGTACTGGAGAGGCTGAGGCAGGAGGACCACCATGAATTTGAGGCCAGCCTGGGCTATATAGTGAGTTCAAGGCCAGAGAGTTCAAGGTAAGCCTGAACTAATACAGTTAGAAACAAAAGAGCTGAGTCACTCCCTTTGTTCAACTGTAAATGCTACACCACCCTAATGATTACCCAGTTTTAAATTTAGAATCACCCTAATGATTATCCAAGCTTAAATTTAGAGGGTCAAGCAGATTGTTAACCCAGAGAGAGAGGCACCTTGGATCAGTGCTGTCTGATCAGTATAAATACTGAAAGCCTAAAATTTTTTTTTTTTGGTACCAGGGATCGAACTCGGGGACCTTGCACTTGTGAGGCAGGCGGCGGAACCACTGAGCTAAATCCCTGCCCCAAGGAATACTGAATTATTGAGGCCCTTTTTTTCCCTTTGCCATTTCTCCCTTTGCCCCTTTTTCCTTCCTCCCCCTGCCCCTGCCTTCACCCTTCTGCCTATTCTTGCTGCTGTCTTGGGCTCTTCAATAAACCTGCTACATACTGTGAGGTGTGTGCTTGGCAATTCTTTCCTTGTCCAACACAAGAACCTGGACTATTTCTGGCCCACTCAACTGTAACAGAATTACACAGCGAGACCCTGTGTCAAGAAAAAAAATGTCCCATGATACCTTTGCCTGACTTGACCGTATCAGTATTTAGTTAGTGTAGAAACACCAACAGGAAAGCCATGAAACCCTTTTACTATATGCAATGAGGTATCCTGGATGGATATGGAAATCACCAAAAAGCAATAGTGGGAAGACTGATGAAATCCAAATGAAGTCTGGAGTTTAGCTAAGGGTATTTTACCAATGTCAGTTTTCTCATTTTGATAATTATGCTTCTGTCATGTAAGATATTAACATCAAAGAAAGGATACTGTATATAGCAATCCAATGCACCTCTCCGGTAAATCTAAAATTATTCCATGTGGTAGGCAGAATAATTCTCCCCCCAAGAGGATTGTGAATCCAGCACTTTAGGAGGCTGAGGCAGGAAGATTACAAATTCAAGTCCAGTCTGGGGCCCTTAGTAAGACCCTTTCTCAAAATAGGAAATAAAAAAGGGCTGGGGATACAACTCAGTGTGAGGCCCTGGGTTTAATCGCCAGTACCACAAAACAACAAATACTTAGCAACTCTCTAAGCACTTTGTTTCAGACCTAATCCTGACCCTGAAGATTACGGACTAGTGAAATAGAGAGGCTTTACACACATTAAAAATGTGATAAATGACCATGATGGAAAAGAACAGCCAGCAGGACTTAGTATTCACCTCCAAATGGATGGCTTTTTGAGAAATAAATGCTATTATGGTTTGGGTCTAGATGTCCCCCCAAAGCCTCATGCGATCATACGTGGGTGAATCTAGGATGTGTGAGGCTACTATCAAGGATGTGTGATTACTAAACCACTACATGTGAGTGATTGGTTTGGCACTGCCCTAATCCTGGTAGTCTGAATAAGATAAAAGGAGCAGAAAGACGCTGTTAAGTTCTCTTGTTGCTTTTGCTGCCTTTCTCCATCATGAACTGTTGCCCCTCTGCCACCCTGCCTTGGAGCCAGCCAATTATGGACTGAAAGCTCTACAAACTGTGAGTCAAATAAACCCCTTCCCCTCTAATTTTGGGTGTCAGGTGTTTTGTCTCATCAATGAGAGAAAAGTAGCTAATACAAATGCTGAAAATTTACCACCTGGGACTAGCAGGTAAGAATTTTCACCAACTTTTTCACAACAGAGTTCATATCTCAAATGAGCACTTGGGAGCCTGAGGCAGGAGGGTCTCTATGAGTTCAAGGCCAGCCTGGGCTACAAAGTGAGTTCAAGCCCATCCTGAAATACACAATGAGAACTTGTCTCAAAAAAAAAAAAGGCCAGAGGCCAGGGATTTAGCTCAGTGGTTTCGCCACCTGCTGCGCAAGCACAAGCACCCGAGTTCAATCCCCGGTACCAAAACAAATAAAAAATAAAAAGCCAGGGATTTAGCTCAGTGGTTCTGTCGCCCGCCTCGCAAGCACAAGGACCTGAGTTCGATCCCCAGTACCAAAAAAAAAGCCAGGGATTTAGCTCAGTGGTTCTGTCGCCTGCCTGGCAAGCACAAGGTCCCAAGTTCCGATCCCTAGTACAAAAAAAAAAAATCAAATGCCCTTGTCTATGGACTCATGGAACTTTTACTAGATTTACTTGGTCAATATCATGATTGGTTTGTATCATGGTTTGTCATACCATGTTTCTTAGTTACTTTTCTTGTTGCTGAGACAAAATACCTGACACCCAAAGTTAAAAGGGAAAGGTTTATTTAGCTCACAGTTTGTAGAGGTTTCAGCCCATAATCAGTTGGCTCGAAGGCAGGGTGGCACATGGCAGAGGGGCAATAGTTCATGGTGGACCAAAGGTAGCAAAGCAACAAGGGAACCTTAACAGTGTCTTTCTGCCCCTTTTGTTATCTAGACTACCCAAATTAGGACAGGTAGCACTCACACCCTTAATCCTAGTGCCCTTAAATTGCACATGAATCAATCACACACTCTAGATTCAGCCACCTCTGAAAAAGCTCCACCTACAACTGCATGAGGTTTGGGGGTAGGCATCTAGACACAAGCCATAACACTATGATTCTGTGAATTTTCCAGTTTTCCTTCCATTGTGGATTTTTAACTTTATGCCATTTCAGGCACAGAAGTTACTTTGTATAATATCTGATTATCTGAGATATATATATATATTTTTTGAGACAAGGTCTTGCTATATAGTTTAGGGTGGCCTTGAACTCACTATGTAGCACAGTCTGGCCTCAAACTTGCAGCAACCCTCCTGCCTCAGTCTCCTGAGTGCTGGGATTACAGGCATGCATCACCATATCTATTTTTTAAACATGTTGAGACTTTTTGTGGCCTAACATATTTACATCTCTTTCAAATCTGCCAGTTTTTGCTTTGCATGTATTGATAGTCTGCTATTAGGTATGATTACAACCGTTTTTGTAACATTCACTGATTTTCAAGATAAATGTGTTTTGCCTTGGATTTCATTTTTAATTTGTGGCACTGGGCTATGTCTCCAGCCCCTTCTTTTTTATTTTGAGAAAGGGTCTTACTAAGTCATTAGGTCATCCAGGCTGGGTGCTAGCTTGTGATCCTCTTAGCTTTCCAGAACCCTAAGATTACAGGTGTGCACAATCCATGTCCAGTTTAATTTTCTTTTTAAAAATATAATTTAATTTTTAAAATAAACAGTGCCTATTACGTGTTTTATTTGTCTTTTTTAAAAAAGAGAAAGCAAAATGAAAATATTTGCTTATGCTTGCAGAAACTATCTCTGGAAAAGAAAGAAGAAACTGGGAACTTAAGGGACCTAGGAATCGGGTGAGATTCCTGTCTGTTTATACTACTGTCCCTTGTGCTGAAATTGTGTGGTGGCACAAACCTGACATCCTAGCACTTGAGAGGCTGAGGCAGGAGGATTGCTGTGAGTTCAAGGCCAGTTTGGGCTACCTGGCAAGACCCTGTTTCAAGAAACCAAACAAAACAAAACAACAGAATTTTGCACCTGCTGAACATATCACCTACTCAAAATATAAATAAAAAACACATACAATTTAAAAATGTTTAATTCTACAAACTGAAAACAACAACAACAACAAAAACAACAACAAAAGGAAAGTAAAGGAAGGGTGTGGTTGAAGTTGCGGAGAACCTGGAAGGTATTAGATGACTGAACCCAATAAGTAGGGCAGGCAGCTGAAAGCGTTCATTGTATTCTGGGAAAGTCCGTTTAGATGCAAAGTAGTAAAAGGAAAGAGCAGCAGTTCTTTATTCACTTGTTAGCTTGTTTATACCTTTCTCTCTAAACTTACTTTAGATGACTCACAAATAAATGTTCATGAAATATCTAAAATTGCAACAGCCAGGGATTTAGTTCAGTGGTGCCGCCAACACGCCGGTGTGTGAGGACTGCAGCTTGACTTCCTGAGTGGCTTGTGGTGCCTGACTATCACAGCTGGGCTTATTGGTTTGCTAGGCTGCCACACCAAAGTACCAGAAATGGGGTTGTTTGGGCTTTTATTATCTTACAGTTTTGGAGGCCACAAGTCCAAACTCCAGGCACTGGCAGGGTTTGTGCCCTCTGAGGGCTGTGAGGAAGAATCTGCTCTGTGCCTCTCCCCTACCTCCTGGTGGATTGCTGGGAACTTTGGCCGTCCCTCAGCTCATTACAGGGAGCACCCTCATCTCTGCCTCATCTTCACATGGATGTGTGTCTGTGTTCACATTCCCCTATTTTTGAGGGCAGCAGTATATTGGACCGGGGCCCACCAGATTGAGCTTTTAAGCCTCATTCCATCTTCAATGACCCTATTTCCAAATAAGGTCTCATTTTGAGGTACTGGGAATTAGAACTTGAACATATAAATTTCAAAGGGGCCTAAGTCAAACTATAATGCTGAGTGTAAACAAATAATCTAGGGAAGATTCAAAGAAATACAACTCATCCAAAGGTGTGTGATCAGTTGTACTTATGGGTGCTCTTGTAGGTGAAAATCATTTTCATTCACATTAGATTATGTCCTATGGAAGTAGGTAATTATACAAGTATAGACTGCTGCTCTCGTTAGGCAATGGGAACCTCCCAGAAGCCAGTGCACAAGCCAATAGGATGAGTGACTTCGTCTGGGTTATCCTGTCATTTTGTGGAGATAAGGGGAGGAGCTATCTAGGGGACAGAGCACAGCAGCACAACTTCCCTGCTCTCCCTAAGTCCCCAAGTGACTTAGCTGTTTGACAAGGTCACTGAAACTGCCCTTCCCTAAAGCGTCAGGGGAAGAGGCTCAAGTCATCTGTTGATTTAGCATTTGATAATTTCTAAACGGATTGAATTTTTTTCCTGCCAGTTCCAAAACATTTAGCAAATGTGCCCTTCCAGGCACTGTGGGAGATGGCGACAAAGATAGCTGCAGTCCTTGGTAATCTTGTGACAAACAGCTGGTGGCCAGCACAAGGTCAGCCAGGGAGGAGCTTACAGAGCACTGCAGAGGAGGAAGGGAAAGGCTCCCCACAGTTGAGCACTTAGATGGGCCATCTCATCACTGGCTAGGCTGCCTCCTACAGGTGGCAGTGAAGGCCATGAGAAATGGCCTGCTGGCACAGGATTATAATCCACATTCTGGGCCACTGAGGCAGGCAGATCCCAAACTCAAACCCAACCTGGGCAATTTAGTAATTTAGGGAGACCCTGCCTCAAATTTAAAAATATGAAAAATATCTGGGGATGTAGCTCACTGTGAAGGTTTGAGTTCAGTCCCCAGTGCTGGGGGGAAAAAAAGAATCCCCTCTGGCCAGGTACAGTGCAGGACTATAAGCCTAGCTACTAGGGAGGCTGAGGCAGAATGATCTCAAATTTAAGATCAACTTGGACAACTTAGTGAGACTCTGTGTCAAAATAAAAAAATAAAAAGAACTGGGGATATAGCTCACTGGTAGAGCACTTGCCTA